AGTGGCAATCTGCTTGTATTCCTGTACCTATTTCTATTTTCGGTGGTGGAAATCAGCAAGATGTGACTTTACATATTGCAGGAAGTAATTGAGAGACGCGGGTGAGAAAAGGAAGCGTAGTATAGATATCACGGTATCTATGTGGGACATGCTTATCATGACGGTGTTTTGTTCTCAGTCATTTGAGGTCACAGTAGTAAGACCCTGACTTGTTGGTGACAACCCATGAAGTGCGGACCCTTGTGCTAAACCACTGCGTTCAAGGGCTTTCCAAAAGGCTTCCATTTGCCTACATGTCCTCAGATAAAGACATGAGGCGTGACTGTTGGGCCATTCTCACACCAAAACCATTTCCTTCACTAAATCTACTTCTAGTGAGGAAGGACTTGCACCTCGTAAACTCCTCTGTCCGCAGGACCATTAGATACTGCAGTTAAATGCCTCTCAGCTGCCCAGATCCTGCTGTGGTTTTGGTAGAGATGTAGGAATAATCAGAGGGCCTGCAATTAAGTAAGTCGTTCAAATTAACGGCATCATTTGCTTTCGACATATATATCATATGCTTAAGAAGAATTTTTTTGCCAGTATATACCTCCCTCAAGCTCTGCTTAAGTGCAGCTCATAAGAGGTACATGAGACCTTGATATAAGCTCTCTTCTGCTGGACTAAACTTTGTATGTACCTTAAATAGTACAATGAAGTTGTAGGATTAATGTTTGTAAGTCTACTGCACCATGAATACAGTTCTTAGGAGGAGTAACCTGACATCGAGTTAGTGTTTTTGCAGCACCTAACATGACAAGGCCCAAGCTAGTTATACTTAGAGTCCATGCTGTTTGTTCAGTTTCCAGGCTAAAAGTCTACAGCACAGTGGCGAACATGTTGCAAGCAAGGCTTAGGTCTCACTTTCAGCACTGCCAGCTGGGGAAAAAAAAAAAACCCACCATGGTTTGATTTTTAAACATTTTTTAAATACATTTTTAGATGTGGGCTTTGTTGGTTGGGTTTTTATATAGCTTGATTACTTATAGGGTGCTTTTGGTTCACATTCCCAAATGTTTCTGATGAAACCGTAAGATTCATCAACTTTCAATCTACATCTGAGATTAACATTTCCCATGTGGCATCTTCAAAATTGTGTATTTAAAAAAAAATATCAAAAGATGAGCAATAAAATAGTGGAAGTGGGCAGTCTCGGGGTTAATGTCCTTTATAGGACATTTTAGGAACAATTATAGGAAGAAGGGCCTTTGTCATGTAATTTGGTCAGCAAAAGGGATGTCTAAGAAATAACGATCTTCGTGATTATGATCCTTTGGGAAGCTCACCTATGAGCCCTCAGATGTCTTCTATAAATTATTTCCAACATTCTCAAGCCCTGACAGATTCAACCACCTGTTACATAAAGCAAAAACTGCTAGAAAAACAGTCCTCCACTACCACGTCAAAATAAGCCCTGCCCATGACCATTGGTCAGGTCTAAATTACTGATATATTGCAATCCATCAGACAGAAATGAGAATCTTTCGTTACTGATAAGAACATAGGGCATACCATAAAAATCTGTCTCATAATATTGTTTGGGTTTTGCTTTGGTTTTGGTTTTATTTTTCCAAAAGGCAGGAGTAGCATTTGCTTTTAGTTCTGAAGTCCAGAGTTGTCGGACTTCACCGCAGAACAACTACTTAGTTACTTTCTTGGGTAACCACTCATGACTCCTACTGCTTTCCTTGGAGGCCTGGCCATCCAAGTTCAGTGCCACCGAGACATGCTGACTTTATAGATGGAGAGTAATGAAAAATAGTACAGCTACATTGGAAGAGCTGGGTAGGGTATTTTTCTCATCAACAGTCTATTACCAGTGAACACAGTTCCATTGGAACCAAAGCACTAAGCAACACTACAGGGGGAAAAAAATCTAACACTGCTGGAAGCGGGGAGGTGTTGTTTTTCATGAAAAGAAAAATTTTCAGTGTTCCAAAATAAGATTTCTTTTAATTAGAGAGTTCTAAAAATCTCAGGGGTTTTGAGATTTAGATTTTTTTTTTCTAAATCACACAAAATCCTTTATTAGTTTCATTTTTGGTATCCATCAAAACTATAAATACTAAATATTAGAAAATAAAAAGGTTGTTTCCTCTGGAATGCACTTCAGAAAAATAATCTAAATAGCAAGACTGGGGTTAGGGTTTTTGTAATTTTTTTTTTTTTCCCCCAAGGTGTAAGCTCTTGCTAGGACTTAACAAATAAGACTGAAAGCCATTTAAAAGAAGGGAATGGATCAGGTATGAACTGATAAAACTTCCCACTTCTTTGACCTTGTAAACTTCACATCACAATGCATGACACAGCAGGAAGTTTTCCTAGAAGCAGTAGCTATGTACATCCTCTTAATTCCTTTACTGGCTTAAACCTAGTTTTTCACATTAATTACTGTTCATTTATTGAATGGAAAGCATGCATTTTTAATTACGTTAGTTGAAATATTGGCTGGTTGTGAAACCAAGTACTTGGAATTGGTCCATTTGAGCCACGTGAATCAGCAGTACTGTTTTATAGTTCTTGCATTTTTTACACTTCAGCATTTCAAACTGATGCTTGCACAGAAGAAAATCTGGTAGAGAAAGATAAAAGGCTCCACCTAGTGGATAAGACCTTTTTTTATTTCAAGGAAAAAAAAAAGGCAAGATTTTCACTTAATTTTATGCATGAAGAATTACTGCTTTAGATTTTGTTTCATTAAGCTGCCATGTTGTTAATTCTTGCCTTCTACAGAGCCTTTATTTCATATGCAAAGCTGAAACATTAAGAATTATTCTGACAGTCTTGAGCATGAAGCAATGATACCAAATGAGTGGGTTTATAGAGAAGAGTAAGAGTTGGTCCACAAAGTTCTTCCTCTCCCCCCTTCAAGCTTCAATATATAGTAACCTAAAATGGGTAATTTGTGTGTCAACAAATTATTTTAAACTATTTAAGGTTCTTTCCTTTCCTAAGACAATGTTCCTTATGAACATTGCCTGACTGGCAATGTTCATAACTTGATCATAACACTTAACACAGTATTTTGGGAGTATTTTTACACAGGGAACCCTGCCCATGTGTTACCTCATCTTCATTAAGTCACCCATTTACCTGCAAAGGGTGAAATCTGAGTTCTCTGGCAACTGAGTCCAGTGCATCAGCTTCTGGCAAGGCATAACCCCATCAGCCTCTGCTGTCTCTTCCACAGTCAAACACCAAGACTCATTCGCCCCGACATTTGTCTAGGAGCACTGTTGTGTCCCCAAAATCATCCTGACTGATTGATAGAATCTGGCACCTTTATTTTAGGTACATAACTGATCTAGTACAGTACGTTGCCCCCCACCCCCCGCCCTTGCTGAACTTCAGCACTGCGTTGCAGTTATGCTCCAAACTCCCAAGAGATTCAAATGACAGGAATCTTAACGCAGTAGAGAAACCCAGGTGTTCCTCTCCTGTTCCAACCAAATACAGCTAGCAGCTGAAACCTTCTCTTCAGTTCGTTTCAGGCTAATGACAAGAGTGGGAGCAAGAAGAAGTAGCAGCAAGCGCAGCTTTGGCCGAAGAAAACTTAACCACATCGTATGTCCTGCCCTTTGTCAGACTGTCTCCCTTTCAAGCCACACAGCCTGCCAGGATCAATTCCTCCCGTGCAGCTTCCAGCAACGGGTAGACAGTGCGACATGCATTGTAGTAATACATTACTACACCCCAAGTTTACTATAGCCCATGTTGACATCCGCAATTGCAAGATTTGTCTCCTGTGCAAATCATAAAACAGAGCTTACTATGTCGTTCTGCACACCTCTTGGTCACAGGGATCTCCATTTGCAGTTGGACGCTTGATAGCAAATCCAGAGGATTCCTCCTTCAGTATTAAGGCACGATTTGGCAATTCTGGCAGGCCACACAGACTCGCTCATCTGCCCGAACAGTTCTCCCCAGCTGCTGCTCCCCTTGTATCCTCCATGGAAATGTAACCCTCAGGGGCACCAGTGAATGACAGCTGTCATTTGGCTTGTTTTACAGACTAAAACAGAGGATGGTCTTAGAGTTCTTACTCTGAACCTTTACATGAGCAAGGACTAATACAGAACTGACTAGTCTTAGAGCGGCTTTGGGGAAGTTCATACATTTGCAAAATGCAAGCGATGCTGTCTCCAAAAGGGAGGAAACGGGAGGTAGAAGTTAAACTGTGTTGTGGGATGGGTTTTTTTTTGGTTTGGTGGCAGCTTTTATCTTTGGTCTCAGCTTGTAGGCAGTCTTAAAACATGTCAGCTAAAACAATACAGAACAGTTGTTTAAACTTCTCAGGTATTTCAAAATTATCATTACAACTGCACTGGTAGTTGTGTTAAACTCTCCTAAAACTGACATTAGCTATTTAACTGTTGGAGTATGGCACTTGGTTTCTAATGCACATGGGACACCTACCTCACTAGGCATGCTACAGAAGATGCAAGTCACTTACTTCAAAGCAAAAGTTGTTCAATAACACCACTTTTAACTGCTAGCCTTTGCTTTAGAACTGTTTACATTTTAAGAGATTATAGGCTTGCTGCTGAGCTAAAGCAAATCCCATGTTTGGAACTACAGTATGGTCCTCTGCCTCATTTTACTTTAAATACCTTGTCTAGCACTGGTACTTGAGCCAATGCTAATGAAATACAAATTTCCAGATGTGAAACTCTGGGGATCATTCAACAATCTGCTTGTGTAATAATCCGCTGTAAACTCAAAATACTAATTTGGGGATTAAGTATTAATTTATTCCCTCTACAGGTCACCAGATACAGTCTCATACAAGCCTTCTAATTAATATTTAACATAGCTGATTTAGATGTTGTTTATCTGAGTTATATTTACTCAGCTGTTTTACTCCTCCTTTGCAGGAGCAGCAATCTTCACAACAATAAATGCACATCAATGCATTTGTTTCAGGAGTTACTGCTAAGTCTTTTACTTATTTTTTGTAGCTAACCAGGTGCTGAAGTTTGGAACGCTCGTCAGTACTTCCAATACCTATGACGACTCTGGGATTGTGACCATCGAGACGGACAAGCCTTTGCTGTGGACAATGGCTATCAAAAGATAAGATGAGCTGCAGATGCCTTTTTCAGTCTGACTCAACTCAAATTACTGCAAAATCACTGTATCAAGACAGTAAAGCTGTTCCAAAATATACAAGCAAGCACTGATTTTATGTACTGAATGGAAAACAAGTCTGAAATAAAAGTCACTTGAGAGAAAATCAAGAATAGTAGCAATAACCGAGTACTTCATTCTGGTACCTCACACTATTTAATCAGAAGACACATGAGCTGCCACCCAAAGTGAATGTAAAAATTCACCCAACAAATGAATGTAAAGAAACTGCTACTGCTTATCTGGTTAGTTCAGACTATTCTTACGAAGTATTTTATTCCAATATTGAACTATTTTTTCCCCCTTTTGCCAAAAGGAAATACACTACACAGTTGCACATAGTATAACTGTATTAAAAGGTGACAGCGCTAAGAGTAGTTAATCTCATTTTTCTGCCCTGGTTTGTAACATGTGTAGGTGCTGATGAAGATTTCTCAAGAAGAGTAATAATTGAACTTCTCTACTTATGAAGCAAGTCTGTGTACTGAAAAAGCTTCAGTTTTGCTCTAGTACCAATATCAGACTTCCCAATACTAAGCACTTTCAAAATCTGTAATAGACTTTGCATTGTAACTTCTGCAAATACCAAATACTTACAGTAAGCTTTTTGGAGTGAAATACAAGTTTCTTAATCTCAATCTGAGGAGGACAAGTGTTGCATCTACCAGAGTTTTTGCAGGCTTAGTTTTTAAAATCAAAATATTCAATCATTTAATAATGGAAACTTCCAGGTCAATAACTGCAGAGCCCTTTATAATTCTATGTGCAGCTGCCTTACAGAACGAGTATCCAAAAATGAGTGTATATTCTATTCAACAGTGCGAGCAAATTGTTGATTCATTGAAGGTCTGCTTAGTATCTCTGACAACTAAGTTAACCTCAAACTGTACACCTTAGTAACCAGCTAGGTTTGGCTTTCTTAATTATGCCATCAGAATAAGGATTGGCAATGCAAGGTTTTTTTTTGATGGAGTTTTTTTTCCAGTCAAGTGCATAATATAGCCTAACAGGACTTCCAAATGCAGAAAGGAATTAGGGGTAATGATGGTGATTCCAGAAGTTAGTGACAAAAATTTCAGTTGATTGATAGACTTTTAATCACCACTTGAGAGGATACAGTAATGCTGTTTTCTTTCTGCCTACTTTTGCTGGAACAATGCTGTTTACTAAACAGGAAATTAAGCACTGGAACAGCTTCTGAAGAGAGTCTGTACAGCTGTCACCCCTGAAGGTTTTCATACCCAACTGGATAAAGCCCTAAGCACCCTCATCAGAATGAAACACTGACCCAGCTTTGAGCAGGAGGTTGGACTAGAGACCTCCCAAGGTTCCTTCCTACCTGAATGACTCTATTACAGTTGAAAGAAGTAACAAAACAAGCAAACAAAACCCACTCTACTACTAGCAAAAAAACCCCACCTGTCATGTAGACAGGTATGATCGCATACACTTTAAAAGAGAAATAAGATTACAAGAATGTTTGAAAACCCAAACTGAGCTTCTTTAATAGCAAGCATGCTACAAAGCTGCGAAATCTTCGCAGCAGGTGTCACAATGTCTTGTTCTTCATGATGAATATTCAGCCGCCTCTGTTGAGAGAAAAAAGTAATCGGTTTCAACTAATCAGGTGTGATCAAGTGATCCCATCTGCAGTCTAATTTCTCTTCCCACCATTGCCTTGTTAGAACAGACATTACTACCTTTACAGCTTAACTCCTATTTTCAAACATTTCTCCTTGCCTAGAGGACCACTCTTACAGGTACAAGCAAGCCACATGTCATGGTCACAGAATAGTATTTAACCTGTTCGAGTGCTAGAAAACGGATTACCTCAGCTCTGAAGAATCTAAGAAGTTTTAACTGATAGTGTTAATACATCAGTACCATGGCTGCCAGTCAACTTAAGGGTCAAGTTTTCCATGCCGCAACATTAATTTCAAAAGGTATTTTTCAGAATGCAGTTACACATAAAACAAAGTTTCAAACATATCTAGCACTTGGTAAATGAAACAAGACCAACTTTATTCTGTGCCCTGTCATCTTCCAGCACACTCACTCAGTTTCCTCTACTTTACCATCCATGCATTTACTTTGGATACCCAAATTATAAGCTGGAAACAGTAAGAGTGTACAATCCAAATAAGGTAAATGTTCTATGGATAAACACACAATGAGGAACTGGAAATCAAAATATTTGATGTTCAGTTTTCAAGCAGAATACTAAAAAAAAAACCCCAAAACTGAAGAACTATGGATCTATTATTTTGCAGCATGCTAAATTAACGATCTACTTCCTGACCAAGTCCTTTGAATCAAGTAATACCCATCATATTACACTAACCTGTGAAATGCACAGGTACTAAAGCAACGTGAATCCTGCAGGGCTCGCTAACATCCTCAATTTAAAATTTAGCAGGTAAAAATGAGTGTAAAATTCAGTGAAATTAAAGGTTCATATTTACTTACACAATGATATTGTTGATTGGGATATGGATCAATTTGACAAAGAAACCAATAAATCCCATTATTGCAAAGCCTATTGCTGTTGCCATAGCAATCTTCTGGAACTCTGCAAAAACAACAACAAAAAAAATTTAGTCTGGGAAACCTTGTGTGTAAGCATAGAGGAGATGTACACTACAGTGACCAAAGGACAGATCTCTCTTTATAAAATGTTAACACAGGAAGCAGTTCAAAAGCAGCCAGCATTGACCTTGAGAAATAAATCCACTTTTTCAGAAGACAGCAATTCATGGAACACTTATTCCATTATCTTTCCTTTATACCTCTTACAAGTCCTAAAAATAATGCCCAATACAGCATCCAAAATGGAAAGCTGCATTTGTGTTTGTCACAGGAAGATGCCATCTTAAGTCCCCACAAAAATTCAGTACTTATGTGAGGTTCTTAATTATTTTAAGTCAGGAACCATGAAGTCAACTAAGGTGGTCAACAGCCCCTCACAGTCCTGCCAGTCTGGCAATGAATGAAATTCCTTACTGATCTCAAAAGATGTCAGTAGACTTCATCCTGAGCATGTGAATAAAGCATCCTAACATCATAAAAGTCTTTTCTTCTATAATTCCAGCAATGAAGTTCTTCCTGTCCCAATCAGGCAGCCACTGACAACTGTGAAGTACTGAGTGGGCACTGCAAAAAGCAATCCTAGGGCCTTTCAAGTCTCCTAAAATGAAATGTTTTCTCCAAAGTCATGTAACAAGCAGCTTCCCCCTGAATTTCTCCCAAGTTGACTGCAATCAGACAAAGGTACCTGACTGCTGCATTTGTCTTTCCAAAGCGCACACAAGTTCCTCTCAGATCAGTTTACCTAATACGTGAAAATTATTCCTTGCCTGTCTCAAAATGGCTAATTTCAGCTACCTAGCCTATTTCCTAAGTTTTTTTAGTACCACTCTCACACACCTGAGTACATACCAGAAAAAGACATATTCAAGTTTATTATATCCATAAACGCACTAACTACTGGACAACTGGTCAGGTTTAAGTCTCATACCACAAACTGAGAAACATTCATGACAAATAAATCACATATGGAAAGATACATGGTAAAATAGAAGATGAAATAAGGATTGTGTTCTTCTTTATTGTGTGCTTTACCTTTTCTGTCAGGCTTGGTGCATCTTTTAACCAGCCGTATGGAGTCTTTTACAAACTGCCGGCTGGGTTCCACGAATTGCATTACCTGATCCATGATGACCTGCAAAGATGAACGGATTTAGTATTGGTGGTGCTACATACAGAGGAAATTTTTTAATTACAGAACTAGAAGGAGCACTACACAATTTGTGAAGCCTTAAGATAACTTAAGATGTCATATTCCAACTAATTGGGCTTCAAAAGATACTTCCACTTCACAGAAAATAAAGACGCTGTGTCAATATATAAACATGATGACCTACCACTACCTACAAGAAGTATGAAAAATTATGCCTTTCAGCACAGAAGAAAACAACAGCTCCATCACAGCCTGCTTTCAGCTTACGTCCTGCTGGGTTTATGAGAAAGCCAGGGAAGACAGCTAAATAGACAAGAGTCACCCGTTTCAAGAAACCCCCCAAGCCAAACGCTAGCGGAGGGTTGGCGAACACAGACAGAAATACTGCGGCCTGGTTTTATTCTCAAAACAAGCGCCTGCCAGCGTCGCCACCCCAGGCGGGAGAGCAGGCTGCCCTTAATCAGGACAGACCCTCTGATACCAGCCCCCCTCATACCAGACCCTCTCCCCAGCGCCCCTGTCACTCCCCTCCTTGTCACCGGGGCCGGCCCCCGGGCGCCCGGGACAGGCAGGACGGGGAGCCTCGGCCCCCCCGCCCCCGG